ATTTTTAATGAAAAACCCCATGAACATTTTCGTTCAAAAGTAGTAGAATAAATTTTAATAAGCAGCTTAAAACTCTCGTTAACTTTGCATTGGTAGATTGTTTAAGAATTAAAACTACTAAAAATTGAACAGACTGAAATGATTTTTTTTAAATTTTGCTATTACTTGGAATGAGAAAAAAAATAAAAAATCGATCGTTTTTTAACTTTTTTTACCTGACCTATAATGAAAATTTAAAAAATGTTTTTCGTAGATCTCGGCAACTAATATGCATATTGAAAATTTTATCGAAATCGGTTCACGTCGTTATGAGTTATAACAAATTAAAGATCACAAAAATCGCAGTTTTATTACGATTTTACACATATTACAATTTTATTACGGCCAAAAACTGTAAGAAATCTGCAGTTTTTAGAATTCTTCGACGCCTGTAGCTCGACTTTGGATTAACCGATATCGATCAAATTTTCAGCATGCGTATAAGTTACTGAGATCTATGAAAGGCATTTTTTAAATTTTCGTTATAGGCTCAGATAAAAAAGTTAAAAAACAAGGGCTTTTTATTTTTTATTTTCACTCCAAGTAATAGCAAAATTAAAAAGAAAGCTTTTTAGACTTTTAGACTAGTCCCTCTATCATCTAAAAAAAATTTCAAGACATATAGTTCAGTTTTGAAAAAAGTTATTGCATTTTAAAAGGTGTACGAACACTTTCATGGCCGTCGTACGTGCTGAAAATTTGATTGAAATCAGTTAACTCAGAGTCAAGCTACAGGCGTAGAAGGATTTTAAAAACTGCAGATTTCTCACAGTTTTTGGTCAGAATCGTGATAAAACTGCGATTTTTACGACTTCTAATTTGCTGTAACCCATAGCAACGTGAACCGATTTCGATAACATTTTCAACACGCATATACGTCACCAATATCTATGAAATTTTCTTTCATTTTCGTTACAGGCTCAGAGAAAAAAAACATAAAGAACGAGGGTTTTTTATCTTTTTGTTATTCCAAGTAATAGCAGAATTAAAGAAAGAAGCAGTTCAGTAATCGTCTAGTAGGCTAGTTTTTCTATCATCTAAAAAAAATTGAAGTCGTTGAGTTCAGTTTTAAAATAGTTATGGCGTTTTAAAAGGCGTACGAATTCTTTTGTGGGTCACTGTATAGAAAATTCGATCTTCGAAAGTTGAAACATCCCGACCACCGCAACGTGTAGCAGTCAAAAATTTGTCAAAATTAACCACCGTAGATCTGCCAATGTTTGAAAGGTTTTTGCTGAACTCTCTAAAACCGAATTACATTCAGAATTACATTCTGAAAGAAATTCTCGCAGGAATATTTCCAAGTGGGCCGCGGATGTTTACGCGAATTTCCATGCGACTGTTAATGTTCGTTATCGCAAACGTTATAGTTGGTTTTTTCCTCGCGGGGTCGAGGACACGGTAAATGCGCAGCGATCTCCGCAGTCTATTTATGAGTTGATCATACCGTGAGAGTAATTTACTAAAGTTTTTCAGGTTCTGGGCGCGGAATACGGCGCGGGCAGAGCGACTGTTGTGAAAGAGTGGTTTACAATCAGCCTCTCTCGACTGTATTACGGCCACCACACCCTCAAAGAGAGAGAGAGAGAGAGAGAGAGAGAGGGTGAGAGAGAGGGGGATGGAGAGGGAGAGAGAAAGAGAACTCCCGCAACTTTCATCGCAGATGCGGCGAATTAACCTGAACGCTTCGGATCTGCCCTGGCGAGCTTCAACGCCCACATTGAAACCGGCCTGGACCGTCGACAAACGGAGAATATGGGACGGGAAAAATAGAGGAGACGCGGGTTGAGTTCCTCGAACGAGCCTCTGAGATGTCACCAGAAAAACTGACATCAATAGGCGGCTATAGAGAGCGGGTGGCGATTAAAATTCGCGGTCAAGTTTGCCGAGGAAACCGCCGAGAACTTTGAAATTATCCTGCGAAATGGGAATGAAACAGCCGTGTCCGATTGGCGAATTTTATGTGACGCTGGTGAGCACGCCGCGATTAAAATTTGCGGTCAAGTTTGCCGAGGAAAGAGGCCCGGAGAATACTGCTCTTTCAAATGATTCTGTAAAATTCGAGTCAATCGCGGCGAGTCTTGATTCTCCGAGCCTCCAGTATTTTTAATTCGCTAATTTGGACGATCTATGGGCAACAGGATTCGTTCGAAAAATCAGTAACTATTTCATCTATTGTTGCAGCGAGGTAACTGTTCTATTATGCGAGCGTTTACTTTTTCATTATTCATTTGGGTAATCGAGGTCCTGCTGTAGATGTATTCGACGTAGATCGTCGAATTTTAGTCGACATGGATGCTGGCGAATGATTTAGGGAGCACAAGACGATTCAAAATTCATGGTCAATTTTCCGGCCACGAGAAAACATTGCTTTTCAAAGTTCTGGAATATTTTTATGAAATATATATTTTTGATCATATTTTAGCCCGGCTTAAGCTAGTAAATTTAAGCTAGTAAATAATCTAAGTAAAATACAGAATGATTCAAAATTCATGGACATACTTTTACTTGGTAAAAAATGTAAGATACTTGCTTTTAGAAATTTTTGAGAAATTGTAACGCGATCCCAATAGCGCGTAATTGTGTTTTAAATTGGGCAATGTATCGTTCATGCAATATACAATGTATTTGTGTTTTATAGGTGTTTTGCTTAGAATTTAGTTTTGTTTCAATGTGTTGGACTCTCGGTTAGATATTAAATTTAATTAAAATTGTTAAATTTGTACTATCTTTTCTAAATGAGTTTCCAGTCATTTAAAAGCGCGAAAACGTGCAAGAAAAGGAGTCTACGAACATTCTACGCTAACGAAGTCATAACTGCACTGCGAATTACATGTATTTTTGACAAGAGAGTTGCTAAGAGAACTAAATGTCTATGTATCCTGCATCAGTATATGATGCAGTTAATGCGAACAATTTTTATTTAAAAATCCATCGTAACAAAGTATTTGTGTTTAATGCACTTGATACAGTTTCAAGGCGGCTAATTGGCTTCAGGGATACAGAATGATTCAAGATTGGTGATCGACTTTTCAATATAAAAAGAGTACCAGATATTGCATCTCTGTTTTATGCAACCAATAGAAGAATTGTATAAATCGCAACAATCGTCTAATTAAGATAGAATTTAGATAATATTGGCGTTTATAAAAAGGAATCGTTAGACTGCGGATTTTCATGCAAAATAAAAATTTGTCTACATCGATTACAAGAAATAGAAGCGAAATAAAAGGTTCGTTTTTCTTTTAATAATTCTATTAGATCAAAAATACTACAATGACATTTTGAAATTTCTTTAATTTCTCTAGTACTGTAAATTAGGAACTATCCATTTTTGCTGTAATTGCATAAAATCCGCACTCTAGAAATCGTACTCAATGTTCGCGTGACATCGGCACAAAAACGATAGCCGCCATACCTAAAAATTCTGCGGAATAACGAAAAATTTGATCGCATTATGCAATCGAATTTGAAGCTTTTCCCACCAGCGTTTTGCTTGTAGCTTTGTGAGCCTCTCTGCGACACTGACTATGTACAGTCCTTGTCCCAAAAATAGTTGCACAGTGGCCCACAAACTTCGCACAGAAGGGCGAAACCGATGTAACCTGATTAGGCTTGGAATAATCGTACGCTAATTTTCAATTATCACATTTCCCGGAATCTCCTAACGGCATCGAAACATCATCGAAGTTAATGAAATTTTACCAGCATGCGCAAATACTTTTATAGATCACCGTGGGTGATCATTAACCATGAACATTACCTCGATCGCCGATTATCCTTGTTTAAGAATTCCGGTGACGCGCGATTCAATTGAAAAATTAATCAAATCAAACATTTCACCGAGCTTCGCGCTTATGTTACTCTGGCGCCAACAATTTGTTACCTAACTCGATTATCGCCGCGGACGGACAAGAAAACAGCGACTCTTTTAAAAGCAATAACAGTTCCAAAGTGGTTCTTTCGCTAACTTCAAAACGGCTCTTTCGGCAGCGCCGAGAGTGCTTTTCGGCTGGTAACGATATTATTGGAACGCCACTTTTACGCGACCGTAAGTAAGCAAAACTGCCAACAATTTCAATGAATCTTTCACGAAAAACACGGCGGAAACTTTTCTATATAATAACTAGACCGCGGATTTTTATTGCCGCAGAAATCAGAAACCGCTCGGCGAATTTCTTTCTTCCCCGATAAATTGACTAGGTCAGAAAGCGATACAAAATTTGGCGATCTGAAATTGCTACGAAATTTTTCCAGTCCGACCGCAACCAGCCGAACTGCATTCGGAGCTTGCCGCACTATGCTTTGCGGGTAGATCGACGAAAATCGAACTGTCTATAACTCATCGATAGACTGCGGACTTTAATGCAACTATGGCGAAACTGAACGGGTGCAGTGCAAACGCGTGCACGCAGTCAAGTTTGCGATTTATTAAGATTATTTAAACGGAAAGTCACGTTTCGACGCAGCGTAAAAATCCGTCCCTTTTAAAATTGACATAGAAACTTTCGACCCCCTCGACGAGTTCCCCGTTCTTTTAAGTCCGAATGAGATTCCGTTCTCCCGTCATCGATATTTAAGCACTCGAGCAGACGCGGGCATGCGATAAATATGTATTTCCCTTTTCTCCGAAACGTTTCAGATCGGAAATCTCTGATCATCGTAACCGCGAAGAGAACGGTATTACAACGGGTCAACTTCTCTAATCAATTTGAAATTCCCACGGCAACGTGAACGAAGCTCCGCAGCGAACGAAACGGGACCACGTCCGAATCACCGCGATCCAGATACGGATCGGGGGTACCGCATGAGCCTGCAGCCGTAGCCGAGCTGCTCGAGCAACAACCCCGACGGGCAAAATACCACGGAAAGGGCAGAGCGGTGGATCTTGGATCGGCTGTTGGCCAATCGAAGGAGTGTCACGGAGCGAGCGGGTCGAGTAATACACGAGGGAAAGTCACCTGGCAGAAGTGCTTCACGCTGATCCCTTCTCCATCCCTCGTGTCTCTGAGTCCATGTGCCCCGGAGACACCGTTCCCGCAGCGATGTTTCGCGCGCGCGGAACCGCCGTATAGTCAGCCGATTATGGTTGTTTCTCAGTGGCGGCTGAAGGTCCAAGGACGTTCCAAGGCCAACTTCCGCAGAAACTCCGCCGACCGAGAAAAGGGTTCCCGAGGTGGACGAAAGTTCGCGACCAAAGGGAAGCGATGTTCGACGGAAATTGGAACGGACCGCGGCTCTGTCGGAGAGAGTGAGGAAGAAAGTGGAGAGAGAGAGAGAAGAAAGAGCGCGCCCGACTGACTGAAAGAGCCCGACTGAGACCCGCTCGGTGGCCAAACAGCGACTGACTGAAGTGAACTCTCTGTGTCGCAGTGTGAGGCTACGGGCCGCGTTCGCGGGTCGATCGAACACGTTCTGCGCCTCTCCTCGGCACCGGCGTCAAAGCCACCCCCGACGACGGCCGCAACGCAACGCACCGGTGCAGCCGATATGCACCTGCAACACCTACCCATTTCCCCGCCGAAACGCGGCGCAGCATCATCGCACGCTGCTTCGAAACGCGATCACAGATTATTCTCAGCCGAATCATTTTTATCCTTGTACAGTTAATTCTCTCAAATTGTCCCCCAGCTTGTAAACGAAAATGGACAATTTGAGAACAGGAGATACCATTGTTCGAGCCTCGCGGCTCGTAATTGTAGCCACCGATCGTCAACAACTATAAAAACGAGACTCGAATAATCGTATCTCGTATTTATAATACTACTACAGCGCGGTTTGCTTGAATAGCTTCACTTTGTTCTTAAACATATTTTAAATAAATAAATAATCCCTAATTTCCCTTCAACTTGTAGCCAAAAATGGACAATTTGGGAAGAGGAGATACGACTATTCGAGCCTCGCGGCTCAGTTTTATAGTTGTTGATTGTCAGCAATTATAAGAACGAGGCGCGAGGCTCGAATGGAAAATTTGGGGAAATTTACTGTAGTTGCAAATGGTCAGACAGTGTTGTATTATTCTGTTCTTTCATCATGAGATTAACTGACGTGAACATTCAACACGAACAGCATGTTGCAACTCATATTTCTATAAATAGACGATATCTGCCCATCTTGCGAGTGCATGCATATTTAACTGTTCATTCTGTTGACATTTTTCTCAGTGCATCCGTCTGACGATATGCGAGGGATTCCCATTCGTTGTTGATATCGTGACATTAATTCGGTTTCTTCTCGTTACCACTTTATTTAGATTGGCACTTTAGATCAATTTACTTTTATGTTGAATTTCCCCGTTTCGTACGAATTTTATGTTCGAAACATGCGAAATGGATTACTGATAGCTGTCCAGAAAGGTGCATTAATAGCAAGTCGGTACACAGTGTCGGAAGACAAACGTTTCCTCGTGTGCAGTCGGGGACAAATATACGTGGACACCCTTTAAAACCTTATAACCTTTTTGAAACCGGACTAAGTGACTTGAATTATCTTTTAGATGGCAGAAGGATTATACAGTGACTACAATACTTTTTTTTCTTAATTTCGCTATTACTTGGAATAAGAAAAAATATAAAAAATTCATGACTTTTAACTGTTTTGTTTAATTCAGAATTAAGCTGCAAGTGTTGGAAGATTTTAAAAAACTGAAGATTCTTGATAGGTATTGGTTGAAAGTATAAAAACTGGGGACAAGACTGAAATTTTCGCGATCTTTAATTATTCATAACTCATAATAACATCAATCGATTTTGATGACGTTATCACGATAGAAAAGTTAAAAATGAGAGTTTTGTATTTTTTCGTCATTAAAAGCATTTCAGTCATTGTATAGTAGACTCTATCCTCTATCGTCCAAAAAAAATTCAAGTTATTCAGTTTAGTTTCAAAATAATTATACCGTTTTAAAGGTTGTTCACATATATTTGTCCCTGACTGTACTCTGATTAAACAATAAATTATTGACGTTAAGAATACAATAGTCAAATAATCGTATCTCCTCTTCCCAAATTGTCCATTTTTGTGCACAATCTGAGCGCCAATTAGGGAGAATTTACTGCATTCACAAGAATGAAACAAAAATAGGAGAATCTTGTTCGATGCGCTTAATAAATGACTCAAGATCGGAAATGTTATTTACTTTTAATCCTAAAATTGTGATTTAGACTTTTGTGGTTTTGTGTGTCTTTCGATCAACAATTATATTTGGTGGGTATAAATGCAATGATTAAAAAGATTCGGATAATGCTCTCATATATCAAAGCGATGTGAAAGGAAAACATTTTTTCTTGATTTTATATCTTTTATTTATTCCGCTTTTGTACCTGGACATTGATAGATATTTATATTACTTAAAGGTATGAACAAAATTGTTAACATTTAATAATAACGGCTTTCGTTGCATTTTTGTACGCTTTATGTGTGGTACACTTTTTATTTCTTATTTTTGTTTTTGGTACATCGCATTGATATAATCGTTGAAACATACGCTAACTGTTCATTTAATTTCTCCTTGAATTTTTCTTTTTTTGACAGAAATCCCCTTATGATAACGGTTTCGGTTCTTGAAACAGTTACGATGTAGACTGCAGATTTTGTGCATTTATGGCAAAATTAGGTATATAGATCCAATCTAAGATACGAAAAAGATTAAAAGAATTTGAAAATGCCAATTTTAATCTATTAAAAGCATTAAACAGAGAATGAACTTGCTATTTAGTTTCTATTTCTTGCGATTGATGCAGATAATTTTAATGTTGCATAAAAATCCGCAGTTTAGTTGTAAGGTACATTATGAGATATACAGTCTTCAAAAAGGACCATTCAATATTTATATGGTATATAGGATACATTGTACTGAGTAAAAAAGCTTTAGTAAACATCAAAATCAACCGTTTCTGAGATATAAACATTTCTGTTTGCTAGTATCATGACACGCTTTGCATCTTCTTGTTACAAAGCCGCGAACTCTCTCGAAAATTTCACATTTCTGTTGAATTGTTTGACAAGCATGGTGGATTCGGTTACCTGATTCGTCTAAATCATTTATCGACGAGGAATACACTAGGCTTTTCAAATATCTCCATAAGTAAGTCAATCATAATACTAGCAAACAAAAATGTTTATATCTCAGAAACGGTTGACCTTTCGACCTATGTTTACTGAAGCTTTTTTATTCAGTACAATGTACACTAGGCTTTTCAAATATCCCCATAAGTAAGTCAATCATAATACTAGCAAACAAAAATGTTTATATCTCAGAAACAGTTGACCTTTCGACCTATGTTTACTGAAGCTTTTTTATTCAGTACAATGTATCCTATATACCATATAAATATCGAATGGTTCTTTTAACATCCTGTATATAGAAAAATATAGAATCAATTTTCCTAATTTAAAATACCATCGCTTTGCGGATTTTGACGCAGTCCTGAATGAATGAATTTTAAAACTGTGGAATAAATAATATGGTATTCAGATTCAACATTATCTTCAACCGATTGAAATTGTGAAGGGGCGTTTTTATTAATGAAAAATCAATTCGAAAATTCGATTTACTCGATCGGAGCTGGAATTCGTGGGAATGTCGGATAAAAGAGGGAGTTCACGCCGTGTTTCGAGTCGAAGATGCCCGCAGCGGAATCGCATTCGACTAATCAGCGGTCGAACTAATAATTCAATATCTCCAAACGTCACCCATTCATTCGGATATTCGGCAACTGTATGAAATATTGAGCAAGATGATTGGAAACACGACGGGTTTCGACATTACAGATTGCTCTTTGATCCGTCGTTATCGAACAGTGTTCGATCAAGGTTATGTCAAGCGGAGAATCTCCGCATTGGACTGCAGTCTTCGTTTATGACATGTAAAATGTAAAGCACGACAGAATCTAACACGTTTCTAAGCAATTCTTCATCGCGCCCCCTTTTTTTCCAGTTAAAACATTGCGAAGTTCGTATAATTTCACGGCTGTCAACGAAGTACAAATTGCACATAAAAATGGACAATTTGGGAAGAGATACGATTATTCGAGGCTTGCGACTTGTTTTTATATTTACCGACTGTCAACAACCATAAAAACGAGCCGCAAGGCTCGAATAATCGTATCTCCCCTTCTTAAATTGTCTATTTATGTTTACAAGCTGAAGAAAAATTGAAGAGAATTTACTGTGCTGACAGATCATTGTCATCTTACAAAAATGATTGAAACAGAAAACATCTTTCTAATGAATTCCTATTCTTTTTTCAACTCATGCAGACACTTTCGACTTTGAATAAGGGTTCGGAATCGACAAATGGCGTTATTAGAACAGGGCAGACCTGCTTGATTATAAATGGCTGAAACCCACTAATATTTCTAACATTAAAGCGTTCACAGTCTCGTGTACCGTGTTAGGATAATAACTGTACTGTGAATTGTAGGTATTTACAGTGACGCACAAAAGTGTTCGCACACCTTTTAAAACGCAACAACCTTTTTAAAACCAGACTAAGTGACCTGAATTTTTTTAGATGATAGCGGAACTAGTCTACTAGACTATGACCGAAATGCTTTTTCTAAATTTTGCTATTACGTGGAATGACAAAAAGAAATAAAATACTCTCGTTTTCTAACTTTTTTATCTGAGCCTATGGCGGAAATTTAAAAAATGCCTTCCGTAGAACACGGTTGCTTATATGCGTGCTGATAAAAAAGTTAAGAAACGAGGGCGTTTAATTTTCTCTTTTAATTCCAAGTAATAGCTAAATTTAAAAAATAAGCTTTCTAGCCATCGTCTAGTAAACCAGTCAAAAATTCAAGTCATTTTGTTCAGTTCGAAAAAAGTTATTATGTTTTAGAAGGTGTATGAACATTGTTGTGGGCCGCTGTGTACCTATAAGAAAAACGGGTAGATACAATTTGAAACAGTGGCAAAATTTAAATAATCGAAAGATACCATCTTCATTTCAATTAAATTTCCCTGATTGTTGCTCAGCTTGGTAACAGAAATGGACAATCTGGGAAGAGGATTTATTCGAGTCTTGCAGCACGTTTTTATAAATTGTTAACAATCGGCAACTATAAAAACGAGCCGCGTGGTTCGAATAATTGTATCTCGGAAGACCGAAATCGTCCATTTTTGTGTACAATCTGAGCGTCAATTAGGGAGAATTTACTGCATTCACAAGAATGAAACGAAAATAGAGAAACTTATCCGATGCGCTTAATAAGTAACACAAGATTTGGAAATGTTATTTACTTTTAGTCCGAAAGTTGCGATTTGGACTTTTGTAATCGTATCTCCTTTTCCGAAATTGTCCATTTTTGTTTCCGAGCTGAGCGTCAATCAGGAAGAATTTACTGCCTTTCTTCTAGATACGTTAGTTTCTCTATAGACTTTAACGAGACATGTAAAACTTTCAATTAATTGTCAGAAACTGGACATTCGAGTAGTGATATTCACGCGCGTCCGAGTGTTAAAGAAAGACAGAAATCCCTAAGTGATTGCTGTTCCTCGCAACAAATCCAGAACATTTTTGCTATGTACAAAATTTCGCCCCGGTAATATTAATACTAGATTTACGGAACCCGTCAAAATGACGGGTCACTAATTCTTTAATTTATGATCATTCATATCGTAAAGATACATTTACAAGTGATAAAGATACATTTACAAATAATATCCAATTTATATGTTGCTTACGGCAATAATACGATAATAACACTTGTTAAAAATAAGAATAAATGTCTTATTGTTAGTTTTATAAACTAATATAAAACAGCTGTTTTTTAGTGTTAAATAAGAGACATATTTGTCGAATGTGTCCGGCGGTCAAGAATCGGAAAAGTGAACGATTAAACCGCGGTAAGCTGAAGTGTCTCGACCGTGAATACGTTGATTTCGTATCGCCAGTTGCGGCACGACTGTTTTGCGGCAGTTGAAAAGTGGTGAAAAACTGAAATACCTGGTTTTCGCAGAAGAATAGAAGTTACGTATGGCGGCCAGGCGGACGAAATAGTGTTTCGGTTCTGTTCAGCTGCTTATTCAAAAAGCTAACGCATTCTTTTTGTTCTCCGTCCAGCTGACTGCTCGAGATGCACGGATCCATCGTCCTTGGTTCTTTGAAACCCCTTGTCGAAGCAACTAGCCCCCGGATACTCTTCACCGTCGGACTTTACGGACGCCGAGCTACCCTCGGGCTCCTAAGGGCAAACCTGCGAGTCTGCGACAGACGACTGATTTCAAAAAAGCTCTGTTATCGAGACATAAAACACCAGTATTGCACGGTCTATCCTATCTTATAATTTCATCGTCCTATTTCATCTATTGCGAATCCTCTTGCGAAATCAAAATTGTCCACGCCAAGACAGAACAGCCGTAAGTCTCGACTCTATAAGAAAATGTAAATCTTCATTTAGTTTATTAGTTAATTATTGGGTGCAAAAGAATAGATTTTCGTTCGAAATTAAATGATAGAATTATCGGGTCGTCAAGGATGAAATTTGTAGATTCAAGCTCAAGAAATTCTTAATGCTGTAAAATACCGCAGAAAATGATTGTCGAACGATATCACGTTCACTTCAAACTTTACTCAAACATTTCTAAACACCTAGAATATAAAACAAAAATATAATGTTATACACGGGAGAGTCTAGAGAATTTTTCAGTATATCAAGAATCTCCGTAACTGTTCCTGTTAAATCACAAAAAATTCTCGTGGTCAAGTGATCGTCAGACAATGTCACGTTAACATGAAAATTTTTACTCAAACATTTCACAACGCTGCAAAAAAAATACTATTATACTCGGGAGAGTCTACAGAATTTTTCAGTATACCAGGAATCTCCATAATTATCTCTGTTAAATCACAAATAATTCCCAAAGCCGCAACATCTGTTTCTTATTATTAAATTCCTTCGATTTAGTAACAATGAACATAGTACTAAATCTCGTAAAAATGTCAGAAATATCATAGTTAATGATCGCGAATGTCTCGTTTCGCGGAGATTCGAATGACTTTGATCATCCTCCACCATTCCCCTTTTGATAAATAAGTTGTAAGATTATCGTAGCGTTTGGTGTTTCGCGATTTTCTTCTGTTCCATGGGTTTCGTTTATCATTAATGAATGGTGGACGAAGACTATTCCACCAGAAAAACCCATCGAAACGTATCTACTTGTCTACATTGACTTAGTAACGCAATGAACTAAATCCTACTGTCCCCGCACCATAAATTATTAAATTAATCGCAATCTTGCTTTACTGTCCGAGTGTGAACCAGCCTTTACGTTGGAGACCGAATCGTCATAGCAACGGATCGCTCGCCTTTGGTTTCAAACAAATAGCACACCCCTAGCACAGCAGTCGTTTTAGTTATTTCACGCCGAGCATCATGTCGAAGGAACTGAGCATGGACACTGCCAAGAACAGCATCAATCATACTTTACGCGCAAAGGTAAAATCAATGGTGCCTGGGTCCCCACGTGGTCGACGTTGCGCGTCTCTTGCGAATTAATTTTCATACACACGAATCTCTTTGAAATCTCGCCAATAAATGGTTCGATTGTACGCACATTGAACAATTTCGAAGCATTTTTTCATCACATAATGTAAATGTTTGACCGGCCTGTGGAAACCTTTGTTGCGGCAATACGATTTGTTTGATCTGATTTCTTGTAGTTTTGGTCCTTGAGGGGATCGGAACAAAATTATGAACAGCTCATTACAGTTGCTAATTTCACCCCCGAGTGATACTTTAGACAAATGTTGAAACCCGTGGAACAATTCAACAGTTCGAAAAAGAAACGAATCAATTCAATATCAAAGTTAACGGTGTGATAATTCTGAATCAGGAGGGAACGCGTGCGAGACTACGACGTCAACATCTGCTTTATCTGATAGCTGATTATTTAGAAAATCGGGGGTGAGCTTTTATTTGCAAACGTTTACAAACAGAACATAGTTCATGAGTGTAAAAAAGATAGGTTTCGTACGGATCGGGTAAAATGAAAACAAAATGTCACGTTTGCAGGTTCATAAGATCAGCTGCTACCATTACAACGGAGGCTCAGTTATCCAACAACGTGCACGTCTGTGACAACATCAATCTCGAGATGATCCTAATCGATTACGAGAATTATTATGACATGAGGTACAACAAGTTGCCTGTTTTGTGCAAGAACGCCGAGGCGGCTACTGCCGGAAATACAATGTAAGCGAATGTTCATTACAAAACTGCTATGCATTTACGCTTTTATCGTTCTCTTTGGCGCCATTCCCGCCATTTTGATTTACGCTTGGATCCGAAGAACCATCTTACATTCGTAACTTCAAATTTTAACCCGAGAAAGATAACCTACGTCGCAGAGGCGCCTGCGAAGACTGTTGATTGTGCAATTAAGCCCGTATTGGATCGAACGTGAGTCAGAAAGCCGAAGAAAGTGATAATGAGGTTATTCTTTGGCGTGCAAGAGTGTCGTATCCAATAAGCTAATTCGATGAGAAAGTAGCCTAACAATATCTTAATTGAAAATACCGCGGTTTAAACGGACCTTGTGCAAAACTACACTTTCTTCGTACACGCAGACAAACCCTTATTAACCCGAGAAAGATAACCTACGTCGCAGAGGCGCCTGCGAAATAAACAACTGACTGCACCGTGGATGACGCAAAGACTGGAAGCACCCACTTTGCCAAGGCATGTGCGAAGCAACATTGAAAATATTCTTCCAAAATCTGCTGTACAGGCTTCCACAGATGATGAAGAAGAACCCTCAGCCAAAAAAAGGCGTTATTGCAGTCTTTGCACGTCTAAAAAGAAAAGAATGTCAAAGATGACCTGTGCCAAATGCAAAAAGACAGTTTGTGGTGAACACAAGAAAGACGTTTGTCATGACTGTCTCTAAAGAAATTTTTTATAA